TATCCTCTCCCCCCCCCCCCCAAACCCCTACACACACACACAACAATGTATTCTACACAGCCGCTGCTCTAAACCAATGAGGTCTTACACCAAGGGACAGACTCACTGTCACCAACCTCGCAAATCACAACCCCACTCCTGCAAACTCTGACACGATGAACTTTAAGCACATAAATCAGGGGTTCTCAACAGTGGGTCATGACCCCTCTGGGGGTTGCAAGGTTAATAAGTGGGGGTTACGAGCTGCCAGCCTCCACTCCCCAACCCCGCTTTGCCTCTAGTATTTATAATAGTGTTAAATATAAAAAAATGTGTTTTTAATTTATAAGGGAAGTCGCACTCAGAGATTTGCTGTGTGTAAGGGGTCACCACTACAAAAGTTTGAGAACCACTGACATAAGTAATCCCATTGATTTCAGTGGGGTTAAGTGAAGCCCATGCATAGCCCCATTGAAATCAGTGGGATTACTTATGCTTAGTTAAGCAAATAAAGCTGAAGAGCTTGCAGAATCAGGATTTAGATCGCAAATGTCTTGCCAGACTGACACTGACACACACACACACACCATTGCATATTTCGGGGAGGCAGCTACAATGCAACGTTTCTCTCAGTTTACAACTAGACCCATACAACAAAATTCTATACCAGAGAAACAAACCGAGGAAACAGGCAGCCTCTCATAAGAGAATCTCAATATCTTACAATTTAAGCATCAAATTCCAAACGGACATAGCAAACTGGGATTGTGTCTATGCTTACGGAGCTTGTTGGCACAGCTCTCTTGCCGTAGCAGTGCCAGCATAGCCCTCTGGTGCAGACACATGCCCACCACCAGAAGCAGGTACGTCTAGCAGTGCAGTAACACCACTTCCTCAAAGGAAATAAGCTAAGCTGTTGGTTTAGCTGCAATCTACCCAGGGAGCTCTGTTGACCTAGGTTGTTCGGTGGGGGATGAGGGAGAATCAGACCCCTGACCAATATAGCTAGGTTGGTAAGTTTTAAGTGCAGACCAGAAAATGGTAGAAACATTTATATACTACTATCCAAAATTAAAAGCATGTTTCCTCGGTGAAGTCCGACAAGAAATAGCACAGACACAAAATATTTTTAGAAATACCCAGGTGAGGAAAGATTCCAGCACATTCATTTCATAGGGTGATACAACTATACAAGTCATTAGGCATCATAATCAGAACAACAACATTTCTGAGGAAAAGCCAAAGCGAGAACATTTAAATATTAACACTTTGGCACAGATGAATTATTAGATCCAAGCCATTTCTATCCTGAGAATTATCCGCATCCAGCTTCCGCAGATTTGGTGTCATCATAATTTTTAATAAAAAGATGTTAGTCACCAGTAACTGGCTTTTCTTGTCTTTAAAAGCACCCACCATAGTCTGTTAGAGTGGCAACAAGTCAGATTAATGCTGCTGCACACTTCAGCCATCTTATGACTCAGGGTGTGTTTTCACTGCAGAGCTAACTCGGGCTTTTACTCACATGTTGCCCCAACCCCTGTCCCGGACACATAAACAAAATTCTAACCTGAGTTTGGTGGTGCTCTAAACCCAGGCTAGTTGGCCTGTCTGGGGCTACAGGCAAAAGCCTAGGTGCTCACTTCACTAGGTCTGGTAACCTGCCTACTTTGTAGTGAGGATACAGGCTAAGCCACTCCAATGCTGATAGTCCTCCAGAGGGTTCACACAATCCCTGCTGTATGCCCCGCAGGGGGAACAAGTTCTCCCACAACTCACTGGCAAAGAATCATAGAATAGCTCACCTTCCTGCAGCACAAAGAACCATGGGATATGGCCCCAGAAGTCCTAGTGACTCACACAAGTGAGTGCCCCACCAGAACATAGTGATTTGAGTATAGCTTTCCAGTGTGGCTGATCTCACCCCGTCTAGGCTAAATCAGGTGCTCAGACCCCAGTGCCAGTCACCTGGGTTAACACTGCAGTGAAGACATACCCGATTATCAAATTAAAGGTACAAAGGGGCTTGAAGTCTGGTCAAACTAGACTGCAGGAATAAAGAGACACCCACCGAAAGGAAGGAAATGCAGTGATAAGGGCCACATCCCTGATATAATCTTGTGCCATAAGGGCCATGAGGTTCCCAATGAGCATAATTCTGAAAGGGTTCAACCACCCAAGGACTTCTTACCCATCGGTGGGAACATGAAGAGGCAACCTCAAATAATAACAACGATTTGTAAGACAGCAATACATAAATAATCCATCAATACACATAGGAATCTCAGTATGACAATGTTTCCACCAAGAAAAAGAGAACTTCAAAGCAATAACCATCAAAACAAAGAGGGATCTCAGTATGACAGAGGATGCTTTGCTTTCACAGAGAAGAGAAATCTCACCCTTCAAAGCAGTAACAACAACTTAGATAGTATGGTGATGGGTGCAGTAGAAAACCCTAAAATAGGAAAAACCTTCCAGCAATCTCACACTAACACAGCATTCCTGAAAATCAATCCCAACCACAGACAGACTCATTTCTGATCTCTGCTCATTAGAGGGAGGTATTCATGGCTTCAACCAGACAACCAGACCTAATTTCACATTATGTTCCTACCTCCTTATGGATAGGATATAGCAAACCTATATCTCCACCTATTAAGCAACCCCCTTTTAAATTAATGCTAAAAACAGCACCATGAGGTCCTGGTCTGTGACTGGTGCTGCCACAATATAAATAATAAACAACAATAAATATTTAGAACTAAACCACACCTTAGTCTGTGCCTTCTCCACTTTGGGAAACCTGCAAAAGTTCAAGAAGTGAAGTATCTGAAAAACTGGGTTTATAAAGTTCTGCAGCCTCAACGATAGGTACCACCTTCCACGTAGCTGGAGTTGCGTAGCGTAGGTCGACTTACCGTGGTAGTGTAGACATAGCCGACGTTGAGCCTGGGGAGAGAGAAATATCCGAATCAGTTGAATAGAGAACTAGGGCTTGAATTGAGGTTTGAGTGAGGAGAATTATGAAAAGACACTTACATGATCAAAAATTGCTCAGGGTGTCTGCCTCCATGCGCCTGGGGAATTTCCTGAAACACCAGAAGCAGGAGATTAATAAACTTAACACCCAAAGCTTAACTGAGACAATCTAGGGATGGAGCTATACATATACTTATGCATTGCATGTGCTTGACTTAATGTATGAACAATCCCATTGAGTGGGGCTACTCGTGTGCATAAAGTTAAGCAGGTGTTTAAATGTTTGTAGGATCTGGGGCCAATGACTTAGGGTATTTTCACCTTTTCTTTCCTGCCAGCCCTACAAAAGATTCCTTCCCCTTGCTTACTGGGTGTATTTAAAGGGAATCCACCCAGGGTTGGAGCCTGTACAGCCTAGCGTTGGCAGTGCTTACAGGACCTGCCTCTGAGTTTGTTGTGCACGGAGCACGCAACCAGCCATCTAACAGAGCATGGTGTGCCACAGAGCTTCCAGCAACATCCTCTAGCAGAGTCAGTGGCAGTGCATTATAAAATTATGTACCCACGCCCTGAGCTTTAATCAGTGGCACGTTTTTTATGAATATAAAATGTCTGACATTTCTAAAAACGAAACAGGAAGTTTTTCAGTTAAGGGAAAACTTAAAAGAA